GGAAGCCCTCTAGATCAGCTACAGTCAATGTTAACGTGGCGGTGGCGGACAGCTTCCCTGAAGTGCTCTCGGAGTTCAATGACTTTCCGCACGACAAGGACTACAAGGACAACCTGACTTTCTATCTGGTCTTGGCTTTGGCTGTAGTTTCGTTTCTCTTTATCGTGTCTATCATTGCCATACTGTCAGTCAAATGCTACAGATGGAGACGCGAGCGGATGTTTTACAAATCTGGAGCGAATCTCCCAGTTATTCCGTATTATCCGCCTCTTTACGCAGATGTAGGCGGCACAGGAACTTTACAGCACGTGTACAATTATGAGGTTTGCAGAACCACTGACTCCAGAAAGAGTGATCTGAAATACGTCAGACCTTGCAGTGAGAGCATCATTAGTCTGGACAGCAGCGGGACACAGACACTCATGCATGCGCAAAGAGGAAAACTGAATAATGACGATTCTGTTGATGAGGTGAGCTCGGGTGAATCGTCATAAATATGATTTTCTGCTTTCCGTTTTAACTGTGACTTGTTTCTTTTATTTTATTTATTTATTTTTCTCTGATTTCCTTAATATAGTGTGTAATCTGTGTATGTGTTTGCGGTGCGTCGAATCATGCCATCATCTTTGTACCATAACTTTAAGTCATTCAATCTAACATTTGTGTTAAAAAGGATTTATTGTTGTTCTTGTTGTTATTATTATTATTATATGTATTTTAATTTTTTATTATGATTTGCTCTGTATCAAACCATTTTTCAATGCAATATTTCGTTTATGCTCTAAGTGCCGCTGTTGGTCAGTATGTTGAGCTTTTAAACAGCCTTTCTTTCGTATGTCCTCCTCCACTTTCTGACATCATACCGTCTGCAGAATATCTCTTTCATTTCACACGGTCTCTTTCTAACATTGGATGGTTGAACAACTGATTGACTCTTCTTTTTACATTACTGATATACTACATCCTTTCTAAGTCTTCGGATATATATTTTTTTCATATTTTTGTGAAAGAAGATTTTGATTATGTCGGTTCTTTGTTTTTACGCCCAAAGAGGCGCATCTTCGACGCGGATTTCATCATGGTTAATGCAGCCTCTCGTGCTGTGCGTCTTTGTCATGGCCGTTGCGCGCGGGCAGGTCCGTTATTCTATTCCAGAGGAGATGACAAAGGGCTCCCTTGTGGGAAATATCGTTCAGGATCTCGGTTTGGATGTTAAGAGGCTGAAATCTGGTCGAGCGCGGATCTTTACGGAAGACAGTCGTGAGTACATTGGTCTGAATGTGGATAAAGGGACTCTGGTAGTGAAAGAGAGGACAGATAGAGAGGAGCTGTGCGCCCAAGTGTCTTCTCGGTTTGGATGTTAAGAGGCTGAAATCTGGTCGAGCGCGGATCTTTACGGAAGACAGTCGTGAGTACATTGGTCTGAATGTGGATAAAGGGACTCTGGTAGTGAAAGAGAGGACAGATAGAGAGGAGCTGTGCGCCCAAGTGTCTCCCTGCTCCTTACATTTTCAGATTATTCTAGAAAACCCCATGGAGCTGCATAGAGTCGATGTGGAAATATTAGATATCAATGATCATGCTCCTGTTTTTACTAGAAAAGAGATACACTTTCAGATAAGCGAGCTTGCCGTGCCCGGTGCTCGTTTTTCCTTAGACAGTGCGCACGATCCTGATGTTGGATTAAATACACTTCAAAGGTACACTCTGATACCAACTGATTATTTTTCATTGAAAGAAAAATCGCGCAGTGATGGTACAAAATACGTTGAGATGGTTTTACAGTCGCCGTTGGACAGGGAGAGAGATGAAGAACTGAAACTAACCCTGACTGCTTTTGATGGAGGGAGCCCTCAAAAATCCGGAACAGTTAAAATAAGTGTCACGGTAATTGATGCAAACGACAATACTCCAGCTTTCAGTCAGTCAGTGTACAGAGTTTCTTTAGCAGAAAATGCAGCGATAGGTACAGTGGTGCTGACCGTAAGTGCTACAGACAAAGACAAAGGATCATATGGTGAGGTGACATATTCGTTTTCACAAAGCTCTGGAAAAGACGTAGACCTTTTTAGAATCGATGAGAATACTGGGGAAATTTGCGTAAATGGCCTTTTGGATTATGAAAAATCAAAGCAATACGAACTGAACCTTGAGGCCATGGATAAAGGAGGACTAACCGATAATAGTAAAGTGCTTATTGAATTGACCGACATTAATGACAATGCACCTGTTATAAGCGTTATCTCATTTTCCAGTCCCATCCCAGAGGACTCCACCCCAGACACAGTTATTGCAATGCTCAACATTAAAGATATAGACTCCGGTAAAAACGGACAATTGAAATGCTTCGTTAATTCAGATTTGCCATTTCGCATTAAATCTTCCTCCTCAAATTTCTACACTTTAGTTACTGATCAGATTTTAGACCGTGAAAAAATGTCTGAATATAATATCACAATAACAGCTATTGATGAGGGCTCGCCTTCTTTCTGTACTAATAAAACACTGACTCTGAAAATATCTGATGTCAATGACAACGCCCCTGTGTTTCAGCTTCAGTCATACACCGCATATGTGATGGAAAATAATTCACCCGGAGACTCTGTTTTATCTGTTAAAGCGCATGACAAAGACGCTGGCAATAACGCGCGTATTTCATATTTTCTAGAGGATCTGTGTTTCAGCGTCAGTCATACACCGCATACGTGATGGAAAATAATTCACCCGGAGTCTCTGTTTTATCTGTTAAAGCGCATGACAAAGACTCTGGCAATAACGCGCGTATTTCATATTTTTTAGAGGATTTTCTTGTGAATGGCGTCTCTGCATCGACGTTTATTTCAGTGAATGCAGAGAGCGGAGAGATTCTTGCTGTTCGGTCGTTTGATTATGAGCAAACAAAAGAATTTTACATTCGCGTAAAAGCGCAGGACGGAGGTTCCCCTCCTCTCAGCAGCAACGTGAGCGTGAAAATAATAATTCAGGACCAGAATGACAACGCGCCTCAGGTTCTGTACCCGGTCCAGACAGGAGCTTCTGTGGTGGCTGAAATAGTGCCTCGTTCGGCAGATGTGGGTTATCTGGTGACTAAAGTGGTGGCTGTTGATGTGGACTCTGGACAGAATGCCTGGCTCTCATATAAACTGCAGAAAGCCACAGACAGGGCGCTGTTTGAAGTGGGCTTACAGAATGGAGAAATAAGAACTGTGCGCCAAGTGACAGATAAAGATGCTGTGAAACAAAGACTCACTGTTGTAGTGGAGGACAACGGGCAGCCCTCTCGATCAGCTACAGTCAATGTTAACGTGGCGGTGGCGGACAGCTTCCCGGAAGTGCTCTCGGAGTTCACTGACTTTGCGCACGACAAAGACTACAACGACAACCTGACTTTCTATCTGGTCTTGGCCTTGGCTGTAGTTTCGTTTCTCTTTATCGTGTCTATCATTGCCATACTGTCAGTCAAATGCTACAGATGGAGACGTGAGCGGATTTTTTACAAATCTGGAACGAATCTTCCAGTTATTCCGTATTATCCGCCTCTTTACGCAGACGTAGGTGGCACGGGAACTCTAAAGCAAGTGTTTAATTATGAAATGTGTGGCACTACCGACTCAAGAAAGAGTGATCTGAAATTTGTTCGTCCTTGTAGTCAGAGCATCATTCGTTTGGACACCGATGGAACACAGACACTCACGCACGTTCAGGAGCATAAAAAGATACCCAGAGATACAGATAATCAGGTGAGGTTTGTGGAATGAGACTGTGTTTAATTTAATTGCTTAATTCAGTTTTGTTCATGCTGCATTTTGATATACACTCTTATTTAGTAACGTGTTAAAATGTGCCCATAATAAACACATTGCGTATGGGAGTGTGTGGTGTTTTATGCATTTGTGTATTTCCCTTTAACTTTCCACAAGATACTTTTGTCTGTTTAAAAGTGAATTTAAGTTTCATCTTGGTTTGAAAAGAAACCGTGTGTTTTTCTCCACTGTAGGTCATTGACAATGATGTGCGTAAAAGTGGATGTTGCCGCTTGCACCTTGCTCCAAGTACCACCGTTTTTATAGCTCTCATAAAGCACCTGTGACAAGCATTTTGCAGTTCTTGGATTGAACCCTAAGCGTCGCTGTTGGTTGATAAGGTAGACCTGTCTGATTTTATGCATCATACACGCCTTCCGTGCCACTTTCGTATGAAAGGGTTGTGCATTTAGTACAAAGCCGTGCGCACCGCAAAAACTGGACGATGCTTTTAACAGCCAGTGTTCTTGCTTTGGTTTATTTTTAGTTTTCACTTTAATATCTTATTTTTTTATCCTTTTTTTTGCGCTATTGAGTGGATATTTTATATATTTTTGGTGATAGATTTATGGAAGCGCCGCCATCAACATGAGAAAGAAGTATTGTCATTCTGCATGGCCGCCGTGTATTCTCCTGTTCTTTGTACACTTTCTCTGTGGCGCGTATGGACAGGTCCGTTACTCCGTGCCTGAAGAGATGGCACCCGGTTCATTCGTCGGAGACATAGTTAAAGACCTAGGTCTTGAGCTTCAAAGGCTGACAACGGGGAAAGCGCGGATCTTTACAGCAGGTGGCCGCGAATATGTTGCGCTGGACCGGGAGAAAGGGCACATCATTATTAAGGAGAGAATCGACAGGGAGCTTTTGTGCGCTGGTGCTGTATCCGCATGCAGTCTGAGCTTTGAAGTCATCTTAGAAAACCCCATCGAGCTCTATCGCATCACCATAGAAATACTGGATGTTAATGACAACAGTCCTGCGTTTCCAAGAGGTGAAATTACACTGGAAATAAGCGAGTCTGCTTCCACCGGAGCGCGTTTTACTGTGGATAGCGCAGTTGATCCAGATGTCGGCATTAACAGTATTCAGAGTTATTCAGTTCATCCTACTGATCATTTTACACTAAAGACACAAAGTCGATCAGGCAGCGGTAAAAATGTCGAGCTTGTTTTGCAAACTCCTTTAGACAGAGAAAAACGAGAACATTTGTATTTGACCATAACTGCTACAGATGGAGGTAACCCCAGACGCTCTGGCACGGTAAAAATACACGTTAGTGTGTTAGATATTAATGACAATGCTCCGTTTTTTCAAAAGGATAAATACAGAATATCTGTCCCAGAAAACACCGCAAAAGGAGCCTTGCTGGTTACTGTTAACGCAACCGATGCGGATTCTGTCTCAAATGCACAAATCGGATATTATTTCGAACACACCACACCCAAAATCCGAGACCTGTTTTCTGTTGATCCGTCCAGCGGTGAAATAAGATTGATTGGTGAGCTCGATTTTGAGGAGTCTGCTATACATGAATTTAAAATTCAAGCTAAAGATCAGGGGGGGTTATCAGATTCCTCTGAGGTGATTGTGGAAGTTACAGACGTAAATGATAATGCACCAAAAATGACGCTCATGTCTTTTTCTAACAGCATACCTGAAAATTCCCCTTTTGGAACCGTAGTGGCCATGATAAATATACAGGACAGCGATTCTGAAGAAAATGGAAAGATTACTTGTTTTATTGACAGAGACCTTCCGTTTAAAATCGAATCATCTTTGACTATTTATTACAGTATCGTCACGGACTCCGAGCTAGACAGAGAAAACATACCTGAATATAACATTACCATCACAGCCAAAGATAGCGGCAGTCCTTCATTGTTAAGTAAAAAGATTTTAAACGTAAAGATCACTGATGTAAATGATAACGCACCGCAGTTTGAGCAGGATTCATATAATGCGTATGTGATGGAGAATAATTCGCCATCTCTGTCTTTGTTCAGTGTTAAAGCGCATGACGCAGATTTGGGAGCGAACGCACGCGTATCTTACTTCATTTCAGATAATGATTTAAACGGTACACCAATTTCGTCATTAGTTTCTATCAACTCTGACAGTGGGACTGTTTATACAACAAAATCGTTTGATTATGAACTATTAAAGTCTTTTGCAATCACAGTGAAAGCACAGGACGGAGGCTCTCCTCCTCTCAGCAGCAACGTGAGCGTGAAAATTATGATTCAGGACCAGAATGACAACGCGCCTCAGGTTCTGTATCCGGTCCAGTCAGGCGCTTCTGTGGTGGCTGAAATAGTGCCTCGTTCTGCAGATGTGGGTTATCTGGTGACTAAAGTGGTGGCTGTTGATGTGGACTCTGGACAGAATGCCTGGCTCTCATATAAACTGCAGAAAGCCACAGACAGGGCGCTGTTTGAAGTGGGCTTACAGAATGGAGAAATAAGAACTGTACGCCAAGTGACAGATAAAGATGCTGTGAAACAAAGACTCACTGTTGTAGTGGAGGACAACGGGCAGCCCTCTCGATCAGCTACAGTCAATGTTAACGTGGCGGTGGCGGACAGCTTCCCTGAAGTGCTCTCGGAGTTCACTGACTTTCCGCACGACAAGGACTACAACGACAACCTGACTTTCTATCTGGTCTTGGCCTTGGCTGTAGTTTCGTTTCTCTTTATCGTGTCTATCATTGCCATACTGTCAGTCAAATGCTACAGATGGAGACGCGAGCGGATGTTTTACAAATCTGGAGCGAATCTTCCAGTTATTCCGTATTATCCGCCTCTTTACACAGACGTAGGGGGCACAGGAACTTTACAGCACGTGTACAGTTATGAGGTGTGTGGTACTACTGACTCAAGAAAGAGTGATATGAAGTTTTTGCGGCCCTCTAGTCAAAGTGTTTTAAACTTTGACTTCAGTGGCACCAGAACTGTGCCAAATCAAAACAGGAGTACAGAAGAACCAGATGTTAGTGCAGAGGTGAGATTTCTTTATGTGACTTGTACAGTATTGCTTACAGTTATACAGAATCTTTTTTTCTTTTCTAAAGTTGCTTTTCTTCATTATGTTTGCTCAGTGTGTTTGAATCAACTGCTGCTTTTGTGATTTTTAGTGGATGTATGAAGTCGGTTTTCTCCAAGTTCACACAGGTGCGCTAGCAGAGGAACCACAGGTGTAGAGAATCACATTAACTGTCAACATGATCCAATAGTGCTTCACAAACACAGTTGTTTTTTAACAGTAAATCTACTGATTTTATTGTGCCAGTTCCATTTTCTTCTTAAAATTGTATTTGTCATTTAATGTATTGACATTCGTACATTTTTGTGTGCCTTTACTTTTGGAGAAACTGTATGTTCATAGAAAAATTCAGTGGCATATAAACGGAATCTCTCCATTAGTATGTGTCATCTGCTGTCAGGAGGAGAAAACAGAAAATGCGCTCTGATCTCACAGACTGCAGAGTCGTGGGGGAGGGGTTGTGTGCCGAGAGGCGAGTCAAGGGTAATGCAGCAAAATCCAAACCGAATCTTTGTTTACATCAGATGATGAATAACTTGCCACGCAACGGAATGCAAGCTCTGATATTTTGCATTCTCAAATATATCAGACTCTGATGGTCCAAAGGGCAGTAAAGCAGAGGAGAGAGAGAGAGAGAGATGGAGGAGGAGGACTAGTGCTGCAGAAAGAACAGGGACACTGCACACTATTTTTTCACTCACTGACCCATTTTCTGCTTCCCACACACATTATTGCCCTGATCATACAGTGGCACTAAAATATATACTGATACACAGACCATGTAAATGATTTTCAGGAGAAGAGGCAAATTTGCGATGGTAAACAAGATGAAGC